TTTTGCTTCTTAATCCATTCTGGCAGTCTGTTTCTCTTGATTGGTGAGTTGAGGCCATGGACATTGATGGTTATAACTGATACGCACTGACTTATCCTTGTCATGTTATTTTCCTGTTGACTGTCTTTTAAATTTTTGCCCCTTTAGTTTCTTGCCTTGCCTAATTGATTTGCTCTGTTGGGTCTCATGGTGTTGTGACCTTCGTTGTCTTTTTCTAGGATATTGTTTAGAATTGCTTGTTGTGCTGGTTTGGTATTTGTGAAGTTTCTCAGGTGTTCTTTGTCTTGGAAGTATCTTATTTCCCCATCCATTTTGAAAGAGAGTTTTGCAGGATACATCAGTCTAGGTTGTAGGCTGTTTTCTTTTAGGACTTGAAGTATCTCGCTCCAGGCTCTCCTTGACCCGAGGGTTTGTGTTGAAAAGTCTGCTGTGATTCTGATGCTGCGTCTCTATCTTTATCCTTCGCTGTAGCTGTTCCTCTCTAGCAGACAGCCATGGGGCTTGGCGCATCCCTGTAGGAACGCAGCTCCATGTGAAGGTCCTGGGGTCCAGGCATCGTGATACTGTGTAACTGAACAAAGATGCACTGTCCCCTCAGACTCAAGGTTTTCTCTAGTGATTGCTTTCCTCCAGAAGTGGGTTGGATCCATGGGTTTGGAAGTTGCAGATACGGAATGCCATCTGCAGACATATTTCGAAAAAGGACCATCTGTAGAGAGGCCTTCTGGCATGCACAGCACCCTGGGTTCCATCCCTGGAACTGGGCACGAAACAACAAGAGACCCACTCAGCCTCTGCCTAGACAGAAGAGGGTTGGAAGTCTAGAAGTTGAATTTTATCTGGAATGCACCTGTCCGGTTATGGAACTCATCTTTTTTTTCCTCAGTACTGGAGACTGAACCCCCAGCCCTTTTGAAAGTTGTGTATTTTGAGACGGGATCTCATTAAGCCTAAGCTGCCCCGGCTGGGCCTGAGCTTGCGATCCTCCTGCCTCAGCCTCCCAGAGTGCTGGGATTCCAGGTGTGCACCACCGCATCTGGCTGGTCTTTCTCTTGTTCTACTAAGGGGCCACAGATTGCAGATTCCTGGCACAGGGAGTAGGACCATGCTAGGTCCAGCAGGAGAGGACTGCACATTCACAGAAGCCCCCTTTCAAAGCCCACCAGCTTGATGCCAATCCTGAAACGGGCTGTTTCCACTCCTGCCTGCCGGCATAGTGACTGGGATAGAAAGCCAGGCGGACCCCACCTGTCCCTAGGGCCTTTTGAACTTCTCCAGGGCTCTGAGGGGCAGGAGGCCTTGGGACACAGCTGGGCTTCGCAGCCTCAAGTCAAAAGGGTGGGTTGGGCTGGCAGCCGCTTCAGTGTGCTGTTCACAGCCATGCAATCCCTGCAACCGCCCATGTCACTGCAGGGCCCGCTCTGGGTAACCCGCAGGCCACACCATGAATGAGGCGGGGACTCACTCAGGCCTAATTGTGCTGCACCCTGGGGCCCGGAGCGGCCAGAGCCTTGGAACTTGAAGTCACCATGCACCTGAGGCCATGTGCTTTTTCTTTTTTAATGTCTGCTGTTAATAAAATATTTTTACGAAGACCAAAAAGAGTAGTGCAAAACATCTCAACACCATGCATTCATGAGCACTTGTCGTTTGCTTTGAACTTGTGTCCCAAGTCATGTATTTACAGGGAAGGGAGCACGTCCCTGAGGACGCTGGACCGATGGGGCAGGAATGGAAAAGGAAAACGGAGGGAAACAGAAACCGGATGAGGACTGGGTTTCACGCTGGCAATCACATGCGGGGAGGGGGAAGCGGGCAGCGGGGCAGGGGCCCGGCGGGCCAGGGAGCGGTGGGGACGCCGCCAGCCACCCTGCCCCGTGTCCTGTGTCCACCGAGCCACAGGGCGAGGGTCTTAACACTGTCAGTTTGATTTCTCTCTTTAAAAAGTAAAAGGCGAAGAGAAAAGCAACAGCTGTCAGCGAAGACAACTTTGGTCCTTAACGATTCTTAGGAAAGGCTGCGGCCCTGGCGTGGTCCCCAGCCCCGGGTGCGCGCTGTGCAGGATGGACACGTGGGGCCGCACGGTGACCCGGGGCATGACGGGGAGGGACTGGGTCTTGGCCAGGGCCTGCCGCGGACGGGTGGGGCCAGGGGAAGCCGTCTTCTCCCGCCCTCCCAACCTCCTTTCTCCCTGCTCTCCAGCTCTGCCTCGGGGGTCCCTGATGTCCACCTTGCTCTCCTAACCCGCTTCCTCTGCACTCTCTTTATCCTCTCCCTGAACCCAGGAAATCCCGGGCACCCCTGGCACGACAAAGCACATGACCCAGCAGTGCCCTGAGTACGCAGGGCCTGGGCGCCTTTGCACCACGCTGCACTTGAGGGCACTCACGCCTCTTCTGACCCTCACAACCTCCCTGCCTTCCAGGGAGGCGGTAGCCCCAGTCCAGGAGAAAGAGTGGACAGCAACTTTCCCAGTCCCGTAGCATCAGAGTTGGACTGGAGGGAGGAACAGGTGAGGGCCAAGTCCAGAGGGAGGGTCTTCTACAGGAGGGAACTTTTGCATTGAGTTTTGGAGGATGAGTAGGAGTTCTCTGGGTAAAGAAGGTGAGGAAGTTCCAAAACCAGTTCTAACCTGGGTGTCAGGAAAAGTCATTCCCCAACTTTCCCTGAAGTTCACTCCAGAAGCCTGTGCTGGTGCTGGGGAAACAGAAAACACACACACACACACACACACACACACACACACACACACACACCCCTCTCAAAAGACTCCTAAGGTATCTCTGGGAAGTATCTTAGGTCTTCCAGGCAGCCCGGCCCCCAGTTGGTCCCCCAGAACTCCGGACTCTCAATCAGTTTTGGTGTGTTCAACTCTGAGTGCCCCGTGCACCCTGCTCTTCCCCACCCTGTGTGGCCTGGATTTCAAATCTGCCAGTCTCTGTCACAGAGGCTCTAAGCTCCACCCACCAGGGGACCAATCCCACAGGAGAACTTGCATCCTACTCTCTGCGTCACTTCCGCCACCTAACCCTGCCTGAATCCAGGCGACACAGCATTCTCAAGCAAATAAGCATACAGTTACATTTCTCCTAGATGTTTCCCATTCCAGTGTTGGTAAACCTTGGTCATAAACAAGTGGCAAAATCTAGAATCTGCATGTGGCCTCCTTAGAGATGCTAAACCCTTCAGCAGGGCACAACGGAGTTAACCGTACCCAGGGCCCTGCGGCTCGTCTGAGGACAGAGTTTATCTTTTGAGTGTAACCTCTAAACTCTTTCCAGGAACTGATTTCACTCCCCGCAGAGTAGTCCCCCTCCTGTTACCTGTTCTCCACAAGGCAGCTTTTGGAACCTGGAATCCTGTCTCTCAGCTTTCAAATGTGGAGATTAGAGCTCCCTGGCCATCTTAGGAGGGAAAGAGCTCCTTAGAGCAGCGGAGTCCTGGCCGGTCTGATGGTTCCATCTCTTCCTGCCTGCTGGCTCAGCCTCCAGCCACTCCTGAACGCCGCCCTCCGGAACCCCTGCCCCACTAGGAGTCCCAGGGCTCCAGCTGCCATCTGCCCTGTTCCACCCCTCCCCGGCCAGCCCCACTTGGGGTCCAGGTGCAGCAGCAGAGGCGCACAAAGGCCAGGCCAAGCTTACCCTGCGCGTGTGGCGGGAGGAAGAGCTTCCCACAGGGTCCTGTGGCGGGCGTGTGGATTGCAGGAGGCTCTGGGGGCCTGGATCTACACGCATCACTCACTCACTCACACACACACACACACACACACCCACCCACCTAGTCTCTGGTCTCTGTTCTTTCTTGCCTGCTCAATTCTGGGAAAGGAAGGAGATTGGAGGACGCGAAGGAGAAAGGCTGAGGAGGGGTTTTGCTTGGCACACAGGGGAGGTTGGGTACGGGCCCGGGCCAGCCCTGGGGAACCTGGGGTCCCTTGGGATGCGGTGGGGTCACGGCTGGGGAATGCGCAGGACCAGGTGTGGGAGGCAGGGAGCGAACCCCACAGAAAGGCGGCTGCCCCAGAGCCCACCCAGCCCCGGGGTTTGGCGCCCAAGGGCGCGTGTGCTTTTGAACTCCCTCCCGTCCCCTTGTTTTTTGC